GACATAGTTATGGCGCTAAGACATCTCTTTTAATACAGAGAACGATGAAATCCCCGACGTCAGAATATACTACGTCGGTACTAACAAGCTCTTGCGATGTCAGACACACCCTGAAATAAACACGAGTTACGGTACGTGTATAGGTAACAGATGCAGAAACAGTGCATATAGACATATTTACCAACACTTCGCACGTGAGCAACTCTGTTGTGCTACACAACACTATACAGCTTTTGATTTTGGCAGAAACTTTAACGAAAATTCCAGTCTGATATGTGGCTGTGTTATTCGATAACAACAAGGCAGTTGATGTTTGCGACATCAGAGTGCAAGAATTAGAAATAAGTGTAAATGACCAGTAGGTACAGTCGTAAGCTGCATGAAAAAGGAACACCGAATTCTTGTTTCAACAGCAATGACTCGTGGTGTGCATATGCAAGCTCGACGCATTGGTTGGCAAGGGGTCGATTATTTATTCGGATGAAGAATTGACCATTTGCGCAAACCTCCAAGCTGGCTTTCCTGCATGGTTGTTTTCCAACCAAAATGTCTCTTTTCAAAAATGCTTTTTTCACTCATTGTGTTTTGACATTCCCCCATTTCCTTCTTTACGAACGACGGTTGTCCCATCTTGAACGAACCCTCAAGTCTCATGGTGGTTGAGACACCCGTCGTTCGTAAAGAAGGAAATGGGGGAATGTCAAAACACAATGAGTGAAAAAAGCATTCTCGAAAAGAGACCTTTTGGTTGGAAAACAACCATGCAGGAAAGCCAGCTTGGAGGTTTGCGCAAATGGTCAATTGTCCGTTTTCGAAAATTCTTTCGTCTCTTGAAAGTAACTTCAGTGTCCGATTTCATATTGCTAATGATCGTACTCACGGAGCATCGACACCAGTGTTATGAGCACTTCGAAAAGAATTTGTCGGCTACAGCTAAGTTACCCCTTGGAGAACATGACTCCCCATATACCTAAACACTGAATTGACAGACATGTGGCTTCATTGCGTTTTTGTAGTAATACAACTCTCGCTTATTTCACCATCTGCTCGTTGATTACCGGCTCGGCATTACCTTTGGTACACGTTGTCGTCTTTTGTTAAAATGCACCACAACATTTCACATATCAATGCGAACATCTTGTAAAACGACACTAACAAGCGTGCATGCCTTAAACGCCCATTTGTAAAAAAAAAAAGAACAACAGGGGATTGCCTCGAGCCGACTACTTATTTTACACGTCACATCTCCCAGAAATGCACGATGTTCTGCACTTAAACGGTCATCACGCCACTTCTGATTCAAATTTACACCTCCCGTGCAAATATTACCGCACCACCCACTGACACATTGGAAGACTCGTGAACAATTATGTAAGTGCAATACACTGAAACTCGTAATATATATAACAGACTGGCTTCGACTAGGTGCGTTTGTCATGTGCTGCATGACGAAGCGACCCTTATAGTTGGAAGACTCGGTGTTGCAGGCGGAAAGGCCGCCTTATGGGGCTATGGTCTATACGAAAAGGGGTGTGTAAGCGACGTCCAGACTCCTACAATCACACCTAATTACACATCGGCGACACGTAGTTCGTTCTTATAGCACGGGCCACTCTGTATAGACTAGCTAAATGGAATATATACTACTCACAGCACACACACGAAAAAAAAAAGAAACTGTACACCCATTAAGAATTGTAGAACAATTGTAGAACCATGTAGAATTGTAGAATAAATATAAATGTGGAAGACAGTTGGATTTTGCATTTGGTGTAGATTTCCGCTCTAAATGGTTGTTTATTCCTTCACAGCGTACGACGGCATGCGACCGCGACGAATTGTAGAATACTCATGGAATATAGAAATGTCTGTCAAAATGTGACATTATCTGTGGAAGACCGTATTTTGCATTTTTTTTCGGCTGTACGCTCTGCTTCTATTGTTCGCAGCTCACAGCGTCTCTATAATATTTATAATTTACCTAATTGGTGCAATGAACTCTTGATCGTAACACTAAAGCCAGCGTGGGAGACTAATCCCACTTTTTACGTGCACGCTTACTTATTTTTCCTCCAAACGCCGACAAATTGTTCAATTCTGAAGAGTCGTAAAGGGCGTATCAAAGAAGAGAGAATGAAAGGTTCAAGTAGGGAGACCTTAGAGATTTTTTAGTTTGTTTCAGTTTACGCCAAACTGTTGTTTATGCTTGCAAAACATTGAAGCTGGACAGCCTTGAAGAACTGTGAAGTATACGCACGACAAACTGTACGATGACACATCAAGTGGAAGACTGTTTGACTTTGCGTTTTCTGTCTCGGCGGACGCCTAACTCTTTTTTATGAGACTCAATAGTCCTCCTTAGTAGAACAAAGTACTCGTTTAGGTAATATTTACGCAAACTGTGCTTGCATCTTAGAGTTGCATTTAGGAAGCCCGCTGGATCTTACGAGTTATATATACCTTGATAAAAACAAGAAATCGATTTGCCATAGAAAACACGCCAGTGAAAGAAGCTTCGTCCAGAGGTCAACATATTGAGAGGATATTGACAAATTGTTTTCAGCTGTCGTCAATTTGGTATATCCCAATAAAGATCCGCCCATTCGGTTATTTGATGATCATTATACAGTAATACATTTTTACGGGCTCATTCTACGTTGTAAGAAATTGATTTTTATTATGAAGATACCCGTTCTTGCAGCTGTGTAAAACAGGCGACCAGTTGTCGGCTTTGTCAATTTGGTCCAGCATAGGCAACGTCCTGTTCGATAGTTACAGGACCGCGTTTTACTACACCTCGATATCGGGGAAGTTCTTGGCAAGTGCCGTTTGGCCGGAGTAACTGCATGTGCTCCTCATGCATTCGCGCTCTCCATTGGTTGCGCATGCCCAGTCGACAACCGGTCAGGGTTAACATGTGGGCCTTCAAGGTTATATGATCTCACAAAGAAGCAGGCTATCTCAACGTCCGATTCTCGCGGAAGGAGTCATCAGGAATCACCATTTGTTTGCAAAACAACAACAGAAAAACGAGAAATCCTAACTATATTGTCTGTTAGCAAGAACCTATTTGGTACGATGATCTATCATACTGCGTTGATGTGCCGCTGGAAAGCATTCAAGATTTCACAATAAATCACTGGAGAAGTAGCCCAGAGTTCCGAATCTCCAGGTAGTGTTCCGTATACGCAAGCTACATTTGCAGTATCGTTGAGTTGAAATGGAAGACTGTTAAGCTAGAGCTATAAGTTCTGGTCATTCTGTATGCCAACTTGCGGCACATCTTAAGGTATGCAATACCTGTTTACATATTGAGCAGTTTTTATTTTTGCCGAAGTGGCCTAGAAGTTTGTCAGAAGTTCTTTGGAAGACATTGCTATTCTCCAGCGAAGGCGCTTGCTTGTGTTTTTGGTGGCATTCCGTTTCCACAGTCAAAATTGTCTTTTAACTCGTAATGCTCACGAATGGCACGGTAGTTACATAGGTAGATCATGGCAGTACTTGTAAAGTACACGATAGATTCACAACCATTCAAGTCAGATGAACACTTGATGCTATGTCTACTCCTTTTAAAAGCTACCACGGAAGACGGCACAGTTTATGTTCTTTCAGTTAGAATTCAAGCAGTAATCTCACCAAACAGATTAGCTTTTGGTTGACCTGCAATTTTTTATCTTCCACAGTGCTGGTGTAATCCAAAAACACCGTTAAGCACGTTTACGGTTAATAATACGCACCAGTGAGTTCCGCCAAAAACACGTCGCTCGCAGGCTTCTGCAAAGACTCATACTGAGCTTTCTTTTTTCTTCTCAATTATGCGAACTCTACCCGCATGTGGTTGTCTGCATAGATCACGCGAGAACTTAGTTGGAATCTTTTTGAAGCACCAGTGGCTCCCCGACGTGATTTGTCGTCGCCAATACTTTAACGACAATATGACTCTGTGTCGAATCGAGAAGTCGTGTAAAGTATAGTCCCAGCTCCGTGGTTATTAATTAGGCCAGGTGCAAATTACAGAGCATATATACAGGTTAGCACCTCATTTTGCTCGTCATCGTTGCGATCAATGCGCGAGTGATTGCCAACGAAAATGTTTCGTAAGAGTATATAGTTAATCGCAAGTGATATGTCTCCTTAGGCAAGGGCAGGTTACGAGAATTCAGACCATGCAAATGTGTTGCCTAATATACACGCACAAACAGACGCGTGTGCACACCACGCTTAACTGAAACCAAAGTTAACTAGAGTGCGTACATTTTCTTAAAGAATAGCTGGTCTAAGTCTTAGGCTGACAAAGCTTACTGCCATATCAATCAAAAAGCGTCACAATTAGCTTGAACACACAGCCTGAAGCTGCAAAATTTTCTGCATTCACACAGCGTACTCCAAATTACTCGGCGTGCTGTGGTAGTCTTCTCAATAAGGAAACTTGGTTGTGAAGGATGGAGCCCGATATTGGTGTTTTGCTGCTCAAAACTTGTTGGTTTTCGATTCGGCCTGTTTAGTAACCTTTGGGACAAACCATGGGGCTTGTCTTGCCTAGGCACTAGATTACGGTGCTGTGAGACGTACTTCATTCGAGAACAGCGTCTGCGAGAGCATAGAGGGCTCGTGCAGGGTGTCTTTCCGGTCAGTCGTGCGTTTCTCTTATCTAATAATTTCACCTAGGGACACGACATGAGATCACTAGCATTGACAACGAAACTAAAATAGAAAAAAAGAGAGCAAAATTGCTTCCGCCTAATGAACGCAGCACTGGCCTTACGAAAACGTCGAACTTATCAACCACGTGCCTAAAGTGATTGTGCCAGGTAAATGATTAGATCGGCTCGTCGAAGTGATTCTAGGTGAGGCACGATTTCTCAGATGGTTACAGCGACTATACAGTAGTCTTACTGCGCCAAGCTTCAACGCCGTCGTCTTCGTCAGGTGCTACCCCACGAGACCTTTCCGACAGTGCTAGTGAAGCAATGTAGGTTGCCAGTGAAGCTCGGGCTGAGTCGCTAGTGACACCTCTTCTTGTTGTTGTTAACACGCCACTTCAAGCCACCACTTCAGCTTTCCCCGCAAGAAGAAAAATACTCCCTCTCGTTACTCACCACGAACATGCACGAACATATCAACTCAGACTCACAGAACACGCATACAGACAACGATAGAATGAAAGAAAAATTCGCTGCTCTGGCACGAGATTATAGTAAAGAGGCACGTTCTAAGACTCTATGACCGGCACGTGAGGCAGCGGAAGATGGTAGGCCTCCACGAGACCCGCAAACGAGGTGTAGATGCCGACGAGCCCCGAGAAGCCTCCGAAGCACATGATGAACACCTCCCAGCTGATGGAGTACCACTCCATGGTGTCCCACTTGAGCTTCATGTGGAAGTAGCAGGGCCAGATGAAGGACAACATGGTGCCGGTGAAGCTCCCGATCAGACCCATGAGCAGGGCGAAATATGGTATCGAGATGGCCAGGAGCATGGTAAATATGACGAGACCCACTCGCAGGGCCAGTCCCCACACCCGCAGCTCGCCGTCGATGGCATAGCAGGATGGGAACAGGGTCTTCGGTCGCTCCCTGAAGTAGGCGTGCTCGATCAGGGCTGAGGCGGCGAAGTAGGGCAGCGGGTAGGAGAAGAGCGCTTTGGCGACCAGGATCAGGTTGACGACGATCTTGAAACCCTTGGTGGGCAGGTTGTTGGTGATCACCTCCTGGGTTTCCTCGGCGAACGTGAGGAAGCAAACCCAGGCGAACAGCGCCTTGAAGACGGCGGCAGCGATGTGGCTCCAGTTGAGCATGCAATGAAACTTGGACTTGTCCGTCAGGTTTCCTTCGAGCGTTGGCAGGAAGATTTGCGACGTGTAACTGAAGACAACGATGCCCATGGTGACCGGGAATTTGTTGATGTTGATGCGGAACTGGACCTTGGCCCAAGCCCACTCCGAGGCTCGGCCCAGGCAGTAGCCGAGGATGATGACGTTGATGCAGAGATGAGTGACCGTGCACCAGAAGCTCAGCATGGACACGGAGCGCAGGTTCTTGAGAAAGGCGCACGGTAGCAGTATGATGGTGGTCAGCATGATCCAGGAGCGCTGGTCGACGGCGCCCTCGGGGAAGGAGCCGATCATGAGGTCTCCGCAGAGCACCACGTACAGAATGCAGGTCATGAGCAGTTCGATGATCTGGGCGATGTTGACGGCCTTGCCGCCCCACCGGGGTCCCAGCACCGTCTGGGCTACGGCCACATAGCTGTCCCGGACTCGGACGAGCTCGCCGCGTTCGTTCGGCTCGTAGAGGCAGTCCACGAGTATCTTGCCTGTGTGGCAGCACATGTAGGCGACGAAGACGAGGGCGAAGATGCCCCAGTAGCCGCCGTGGAGCACCGAGTAAGGCAGGCTCACGATGAACATACCCTGCGATGAAGAGGGCACGCTATTAAATGACAAGCGAACGTTAACAGCGCGCGAAAAGCAAGAGGGCAGGGAGAAAAATGGAACTAGTACTACACTGCAGTATGGTTGACAGGCGGGCTAGTTGGTACAAATTCATAATGAAATAATTGAAAGCGCAAACCAACGAGACACAAGAGAAGAGACAAGCAAGCGCAGACTGACACTCAGTTTATTCAGAGAAGAAAATATACACCAGAAAGATGAGAAAGGGAAAAAAAACTGGGAAGAAGGTTCCACCATGATCAGGTGTCCAGAAACGAGATTTCACAATCTAACAGTGATATAGACGGTGAACTAACACAACTATCAATATTCTTTTCAATAAACAAGGCTTCCGCAATCTCTCCAGCTTTCATGTCATGATGGCTGTATAAGGCAGATGTGCGCGAAAATTCGGATACGCAGGCACACTTTTTGCAATTGTCGGACAAACGTAAACCCGGGGCTGATTTCAGCGCATTGTAGCGTTATCGCAGGCGAATATTCAAGCAGTGCCCAGTCTGCCCAATGTATAACCTGCCGCAAGACAGTGGAATACAATAAACGAATTAGATCGACAATTGGTGAAGGAATTGACATGCTTGACACCACAACCTTTCTTCACAAGACCTGCCTTCACTCTGCTTTGTAATTCAATTCTAGAACACATTGGCTACAGTTTTCCATTTGTGGAAAACACAGCGTCGAGGTTGAATTTTTTTGCACATTTTGTTATCTTACCAATCGTAAAATTGTCTAACTGCAGTGGTTTTAGTATCGACGTTGTCGATTTGTTTTATTCGGTTCCTCACCCTGAACTCATGAAGTGTGTAAAAAATGAATCACGCAGGAAAATGACGAACTTTCATTGATAAACAAATGTAGGATGTCGGTTGAGAGCTTCATGGAACGACTCTTTTTTTTTTATGTGAATTCTACTCTTGTATTATGGGGCGATAAGTATTACGTGCAAAAGTCTGTCATTTGTGTCGGCTCTCGTGCAACACTGGTCCTGTGCGACATATTCTTAAGTTATTTTGATAGGGCTTTGCAAACGGCACTAAGCAGCCTCGTCATTAATGTCTTCAGATATGTGGATGATTACCTTGTGCTCGTTCATTCTCCTTCCTTGGATAAAAAGCGGCACAAGATTATTAAGACCTTCGAAAAAAAATGGGCATGGATTACGTTTCACGCACGAGGTTCCCCTTGATACGATATTGCAGTTTCTTGATCTTGAGTTATCTTCTCGCGCAGATCACCTATGCTAGTCCTACTCTCCCCGTTCAAAGAAACCAATCTTGGACTACTCTTCTTCGCATTCTAAAGTAGTAAAATCGGGTATTGCGATGAACGTTCTCAATTCTGCTGTAACGAAATCATGTTTTCACAAAATGGCGCGTGTTTTTTCTAATCATATAATTAGGTTGCGAGAGGCAGGCTTTCCGTCCAATGTCCTCATTTTTGCCGCTCAGAAGGTACTGCGTATGAAGAAAGGGAAAGGATGCCCCTTAAATGAGACAGATAAACGACGTAAGTTTGCGGTAGTCCCATATGTGCACGAGGTTTCGCATAAGATAAAAAAATGTGCAACAAAAAAATTCAACCTCGACGTTGTGTTTTCCACAAGTGGAAAACTGCAGCAAATGTGTTCTAGCATTGAATTACAAAGCAGAATGAAGGCAGGTCTCGTGAAGAAAGGTTGTGGTGTCAAGCATGTCAATTCCTTCACCAATTGTCGATCTAATGTCGTTTATTGTATTCCACTGTCTTGCGGCAGGTTACACATTGGGCAGACTGGGTGCTGCTTGAATATTCGCCTGCGAGAACACTGCAATGCGCTGAAATCATCCCCGGCTTTACATTTGTCCGCCCATAGCAGAAAGTGTGGCTGCGTACCTGAATTTTCGCGCACATCTGTCGTATTCAGCCATCATGACATGAAAACTAGAGAGATTGCGGAAGCCTTTTTTTATTAAAAATAATATTGATAGTTGTGTTAGTTCACCGTCTATATCACTGCTAGATTGTGAAATCTCGTTTCTGGATGACACCTGATCATGGTGGAACCTTCTCCCTAGCTTTTTTTCCCTTTCTCATCTTTCTGGTATATAATTTCTTCTCTGAATAAACTGAGTTTCAGTCTGCGCTTGTTTGTCTCTTCTCTTGCGTTCCGTTGGTTTGCGCTTCCAATTATTTTATTGTGAAGTACTACACGAAGCACAAAACGGTATGCTCGTGGTTGTACCCCGCAATTCGTCCTCTGGTTTTGCTAGCCTAGGGACGCAGGAACACGTGTTATTAGTGAAGCGGCTCTAATTAGGTAGGGGAAACAGCGTCTGCGTGATTATACAGTCGGCGTGATTATATAGTAAAGAATTAATATTCCTGAAAAAATGCGGCACTGAAAATGTCTGTCGTTAGTCGTGGCATTTGATAAAGTTTCTTTACATAAATGTTATTTCACACTGTTTTGTATAGGCTTTTTCTGAGTGCGTTTATACGCAGCAAACTTGTAAGTAAGGTAATGTATATAGTGATCATCTTGTTCCTTTGGTGTTGTGGCACTGTGTCTCATTTCAGTACCGATCGACTACGAGCACGCTGGAGAAAAAAACGCCAGACTGCATAGGGCAGCACATGTTGACGGCTCGCCGACTGTTACCCGCATCTCGCTCGCGTCCCTGATGTGGCAGGGAGGGAACGGAAGATGAAGAGTATGCGTGGAGTATCAATCGCGATGAGTGCCGAGGCGTGCGAGTGGACGTGTGACGTAAGTTGTGGACCAGATTTCTGAATCAGCTGAAGTGCTCGAATGAACGAGAGCATGAACCGGGGTATCAACGAGTGTGTGAGTAAGTGAAACTATAAGAATGATTGGCTATTGAATTGGGATGAGTGAGGGGATAAGCAAATAAAAACTATGTATTTTGTTTAGCGTTCAGAGGCATCACACTGTTTCACAAAAAATGCATTGCAATAGTGCAATAAGGAGTTCTTTGAATAACGCTGATTGCCAGCACTTCTAACATGCCCATAGCAGCCCTAGTTTGCATCATCGCCCTTGAACGTTGGCTCTACGAACGGTGATGCGCCTGCGAACGTTCATGCCTCTGGAAAAGGCAATTTTTTGGGAGTGACAGAAGACAAGGTCAAGATCTCCGTCATATTCCCCGACTGTGAAATATGTATAGATGTTACCATGTTGGTGTTGTTTTTTTGGCGTTGTTTTCCTTTCTTCTGTTTTGCTCAAGCTATCATTAAGTTGCACGGAAAGCGTGTCTGTTGCACGAGCTACTCTGAGTGTCTTAGGCGATAATCATGTTTCGTCAGGTAGTATGATTTGAAGTGTACGTAGATCTACCTATGTATGCGCAACGCTAGTGATCAGCAGTGAAGTGATTGCCACTTGTTTGAAGGAAATCAAACTTTTCTCAATCTGAGTCAAGGCCGGCACGCGAGCCCGCCTGACGCGAACAACTCAATGGCGTCATCACGCGGCGGTGCCTTTCTGTCGCGCACGCACAGCGAGCCCGTCGGAGAAATCAGCGCCTTCCTGTCTGGCGAGTCTGACGCAAAGCGTGGCAACGTCACTCGTCCTTGGGTGTAGCCACGTGCAGCGCAGCGGCTCCGGATTCGATGAGAATGACGCGGCCCAGCGGTGACCCCATTGGAGGATTCTGACCTCACGACCAGCGGCGCTTCTGGTTGGACATTTGGTTACTCAAATAATACCCGCGATGCATATAAAAAAAGCCCTGCGTCGCGTCGCGAGTAGTAGATCTATGTGTCAGAAAAGAGAGCTCGGCTCTTCGAGTCTGTAAGGTGTCGGCCCCCGTGCCGAATTTGTAACGCCTCTGTATATATGCTGTACATAAACCTTGTTTAACTCACCGTCGTCTCGTCCGCTCGTCTATCAGCTCTGCGCAGAAGTAGTCGCGAGCTGAGAAACCTACGCTACCAAACGGCTAATGACCTTCCCGGCGGAGTTCAAAGCAGTGGCGCCTTCGGGACCGTGTTGGCGTCGCCGTCTTTCGTAACAATGGAGTCAGCAGCGAGATTCGTGGCGCCCTTCGTAACGTCGTCGGAGGCGCGCTTCGTAACAACGGTCATGCGCTCAATGCCCGCGCCAAAAGATGATGATGAACAAACTTTATTTAATCAGCAGAAAAGTCCTCCTCCCCCTTCAGGTGAGAGAGGAGAAGGGAGGACCAAACCTAGACGACGGCCATGGTGTCATGGGCCCTGGCGGCGTCTTCGGCCTGCCGTATTAAGCGGGCTGTAATTGAGAGTCAGTGCTGAGGAGCGTGGCATCCCATCCACTCCCGTCTGGAAATTCGCCTCTCATAAGGGCTTGCGGGCATGCCCATAAAATGTGGCTCAAGTTCGCCCTGTTGTGGCAAAATTTAAACTTGTCCGAATGAAGTTCCGGCACGCAGCCATTCATTGTTACCGGACTAGGAAACGTGTGGGTCTGGAGTAGGCACCACGCCACCGCCTGTCATTTGTTCAATGACGAGTGTACGGGAGGATAAATTTTCCTGCTTAGGCTGTAATACTGCGTAATATCTCTGTAAGTGGTCATTCGCTCAAATCTCTCATCGTCCTCCCCGTTCGACCAGGGCAATCCAGAGGCTCGGTCTGTAAGTCCTCGAGCTGTCTGGTGTGCAGCCTCATTGCCGGGCAAGGAGGAGTGAGTGGGTGCCCAGACTATTTCTATTGTTCGTTGGTCTTTGCATCCAGCCAATATTCTTAAGGCTATTTGGGATATTCGCCCTCGCGCAAAGTTTCTCACAGCCGTCTGCGAGTCGCTAACAATTAGTGAAGTCGAGGTGGATGCTATGGTCATTGCAACAGCTGCTTCCTCCGCCTCTTCTGCAAAGCTCGTTCTCACCGAGCCGCTGACTTTATGATTTCCTTTGTAGTCCACTACTGCTATAGTCATGTTGTCATTTCCTTTGTGTTTGGCCGCGTCTACGTATGTTGTTTCCGGTAAA